ACGTGAAGCAGGAACAAAGCTGTTAGGGTTCATTGTAAGCGAAGAAGGCATCAAGCCGGACCCGAAGAAGGTGGCGGACATGATGAGAGTGGAAGCTCCGTGTAACGTAAGAGAACTGAGGTCGTTCTTGGGTTCTGTAACTTACCTCAAGAGGCATATTCCACAGTTCGCGAGTAGAGTTGCTGGCATGACTGACTTGCTCAAAAAGAAGACTGAGTTTGTTTGGAGTGAGGCACGAGAGGAGGAGTTCCAGGGTATCAAGAAATCGGTGGCCGAGTGTGTGTTGCTGGCCGCGCCGGCAGATATTGGAGAGTTCGTGCTAACGACGGACGCCAGTTATCGGGCGATAGGCGCCATGCCAGAGCAGAGGCAGGTCCGAGGGTGTGTTCCGATCGAGTTTGGTAGCAAGAAGTTGGACGAGTGTCAACAGCGGTGGGATACACGAGAGAGGGAGTTGTATGGGGTAAGGTTCTTCGTAGAGAGGTGGCAGGATTACTTTTGCGCTGCGCCGTTTACCATCACGACTGATCACCAGAACCTGTTGTATTTGGCTAACTCTACTAAAGGAAAGCTAGCAAGGTGGTCGTTGTTCCTACAACTGTTCGACTTTAAGATAGAGTACCTGAAGGGCACCGAGAACGTGGTGGCTGACTGGTTGTCTAGAGCGAACTTACGAGAAGATGTCGGGTAGGACACGTTGGTGGGTCGAATTCAGATGAATCCAGAGCTAAGGGTGGCGTACTGTGCGGAAGACGAACAAGATGAGGGCTTGTCAGTACCACTAGTTGAAAGATTGAAAAAATTAGCCAGAGAAGATGAAAGCGTGCAGAAGCGTGTCCACAAAGCACCGAATGGGCTGTGGGTAAGGAATCGTACCGGCAGTGTGTATGTGCCGATGGAGTGTAGGAGAGACCTGATGACGTACCATCATTACGGACGGGTTGGAGGACACCCGGGGGTGAAGAGGATGCTGAGGTTGGTGACCAAGTACTTCGGGGCACCGCTAGCTGTGTTGGTTGACGGGGGCACTGAATTGAAGGGAGAGTTCTTTGACCTGGTTCAGAAGCGCTGGAAGTGCAGGTTATATGTGACTGCGCCGTACCGACCACAAGGGAACGGTGTTAGCGAATCGAGTCACCGTGGAATATCGAAGGCTTTGCATGGAGCGGATGTTCGGAGTGGTTCGGAGTTACGCGAGGCCGTGAGTTCTGCTGTGCTTGCGCACAACAACATCCCACACCCAGCGACAGGGCTAGCACCAGTGATGGCGTTGATAGGAACTGACGCAAGGTACTCAAATGAGTTGCCTTTAATGCGGCCGGAGACTGTGAGAGTGGACGCACTTCTGGAGTTGTGTGATCTGTCGTAGCCATGTATCGTCATTTGTCGTGTGCACGTTGTGTCTACGGGCCGTAAATTTTTAGGGTGAAGGGGGGACGCAGAACAACAGTAAGCCATGGTCGAGTCTACCACCCACGAGCACGACGGCGACCTGAGTTCAGCCACGGAGGACCTGCGCGGTTCTGCTGACGACAGACAGAACACAGATGTTAAGTGACGACGTTATGTCTCAAAAGTTGTGATTTTTTAAGCACGGGCGGTCTCTCGGGTAGTGCTGTTCGCTCCGGTCACAAAAAATTTACACGTCCGAAAAGACGCGACTAAGGCATTGGTAGTCACAGCGTTTGACTTGGCTGTGTGGTAAATGGGTCATAGCCCTGGCGCCATCGGTGAATACTTCTTGGGTTGTGGTGTTATCGGCGGCGAAGCTGAGGTCGAGCTTGTCGCCCCAACGTCGCTCCATCCCGCAAGTAACAATAAGCTTTGGACACTTGCAATCAGGGTACTGTTCACCTGGGGTCCAAGTGCCGTTACCGCAAGGAATTTTGAACCAGATGTGGCTCAAGTCATTTTTACTCTTGGCGATGGTATCCGGAGGGAACATTTGCTTAATTACTTGCTTGAAGCGTTCAAGCCCCTCCGGGGTGCGGGCATCACCAGGACCCGTCATGCGGCGCATAGACTTCCGCTGTTCCGCCGCCTTGACTAGTTTGTCTCCAATTATGCTTGCATTATCGCAACGAATGACACAGTCCTCATCACCGTTGGGACTAAAGACTCGATCGATCATATCCCACAATTGATACAGACCATTTGGGTCGTCTTCTATGCCAGAAACGAAGTTAAAGCATTGAGCATTACGTACTCCCAAGTCGCGACACATCAACGTTCCATTACTACCGCTCCCACAAAGGTCGTAGTTCAAATACGGGTCGTAGCCAGGACCGCTGACTATCACGTCACTCGTCTCCGGGTTGAAGTCCATTGCCAGGCACTTAGCATACGGTGCCCGGAATGACTGCAGGTCCCGTTGCGACACGTCGTCCACGAACATACCCGGCTTATTCAATTCAGCAAATTTCACCATCTTCCCAACAGGCAAAACTTCGTTGAATGTCTCATCCGTCTCCTCACCCGAACCATTCGGGCTTAACTCTTCCAGCACTGTTTCCACAGCGTCCGTAAAAACGTTCGATTTAGTCACTATTCCCTCCACGTCCAACGGGGTCAACGTTGTACTCGTCACGGCCTCCCTGGAGTTCGCGGTCTGCGTAGAGTTAACCGTCTCCCTAGAGTAAGGGGTCTGCGTAGAGTTAACGGTCTGCGTGGAGTAAGGGGTCTCCGTGCACTTAACGGTCTGCGTAGAGTCAACGGTCTGCGTAGAGTTAACGGTTTGCGTAGAGTAAGGGGTCTCCGTGTACTTAACGGTCTGCGTAGAGTTAAGGGTCTGCATAGAGTTCGGGGCCTCCGTAGAGTTAA